CTGTGCTTCTAGGGCCCTCGGGTTCTGGTTCTGGCTGCAGCAGGGCTGAAAGGCTGGATCAGCCACGTGTGTGTGTGTGTGTGTGTGCACGCGCGTGCACGCACCCACATGTACATGTTGGGGGTGGGTCGCAGGGCTGCAGCTGGGAAGCTGCATCTGACAGGTCCCTGCCCTGCAGCTGGAGGCCTCAGGGGCCTCACATCTGGCCATAAATGCAGAGGAAAGCCCACTCCCATCCTGTCCTGAAGCCGATTCCAATTTTCCGCTTGCTGCGCTAGTGCTGGTCTGGAGGGGAGCGCGCTGGCCGAGGACCGTGTGCACCCTCGGCCCACGCTGAGCTGGGCAGCCGCGCTAAGCGGCCACAGGGAGGAAGAGCCCAGGGACAGCCAAGGCTGCAGGCCTGACTCGGAGCCAGTGACACACTCACCATCCACACGGACAGGGGACCACTGAGCTCCACCACCCAGCCTTGTACACACTTTTCCCTTCTGTGAAAATGTGCCGGTTACAGTCAGCAGGGCAGGAAGGAAAGGAGGGCGGCCTGTTGTTAAAACTGCATTTATAAGTAGTGAGGAATGTGCACACTTTCGGCAAAGGCCCTGCCCAGAAAAGGGTCTAATGCTCAGCCCTGGGGGGCACAGATGCAGCCTCCGTTCTCCCACTCCCCGCCACGTGACCTTGGCCAAATCATGGTTTTCGGCCGCTGCCTCTTCCGTAAAATGGGCTTGGTCCCTCGGCGGCTGTGAGCTGCCTTGAGATCTTGCTGGGACACTTGGACAGTCCCCAGCTCACACAGCCACACAGGAAGCGTCAGTCTGTGTTAAGGAAACTGACCAGGGGCCATGTGCTGGCAGAGCGTCACCATGGGTCCAGCGCTGCCCTCTGAGTCACACGGATTCGGACAGCAGGGTGGTCTTCGGCCCTGCAGGAGCCGCTGAAACACTAGCGGGCCCTGGCCAGCACGCGGAGTGGGGACCATCCCTCAGGCCTGGGGACAAGCACTACAGCCATCAAAACCGCCATCTGTCCTCACAGGGCTCCCAGGGAGCCAGGTGCCAACTTTACTCCCTCCACCCTTGAGCCTCTGAGAGACAGACAGACACTCCAGCTGACAGAGGAGGAAACTGGTCAGTCAGTTACCAAACGGCCAGACCCACCGGCCCTGGAATTCACCTGTCCTGCTACAACCTGAGGTTCTCACTGGGTCCCTATGCTTTATTGTTTTGATGTCACACACTTTAGCTAGGGGGAGAAGCAAACCTCCCACTTGCCTTACAATCTATGACCTCTCTGGGACTACTTCAGGTCCCTCCTGCATTCGCTCACACTGGGAACTACACTCAGGGCCTTCACACTGAGCTATATCCACAGCCCTTTCAAACTGTTTTTTAAATTTTGAGATAGGGTCTTGCTAAATGCTCAGGCTAACCTCCAACTTGAAACCCTCCAGCCTCAGCCTCCGGAGTAGCTGGGATTATAGGCATGTGCCACTGCACCCAGCTCCCCTGCTTTTAATACCAACCCAATGACGGAGACTTCTGTAGAATCTCAATAGCACCAGGGTGTTGGATTAGGGTAAGTGCCACTGACCCTCAGTGTCAGACAGACTCCAGGGCAGAGCAGGGACCACGGCATTCTGTAGACTCATTCCACGGAAGAGGACAGCTGCAGCTTAGCTGTTTCCAGAGAGGAATGCAGAGTCTCAGGGTTGGGCTTCTAACCCCTGGCCCTGAGCAGTCCGTTTCCCGCTGGTATCCCTGTCTGCCAGCTTCATCTAAAGCTTACAACAATTGTTCCTGGGCATCTAAGATGCAAGAGTCCCTTTGAAAACCATTTGGAAGTTCCTAAAGAGGGACTCTAGAGCCGGCAATTCCACTCCTAGGCACTGACCTCACACAAACCAAAGCACGTGTCCAGATGAACACTGGGACCCAGCGGCTCAGAAGAGCATCGTTCCTAATAGCCCCAAAGCAGAAGCAACTCAAACATGCATCAGCCAGCGAATGTACTAGAATGTGGCACATCCATGGAACACAGTAGTACTCAGCCACAAAGGGAACGGACATCTGCAGACACTGTACCATGCATGGACCTCCTCAGAGTCACACTCTGTGAATGGCACACAGGGAAGACACTCGTGGTCCACTTCTGTTAATATGGCATGTCAGGACGGGCAGAAATCACAGCCACAGGAAATAGACAAGGCCTTCCAGGGGCTGGAGAACGCTAATAAACATGGGGTTTCTTTGCAGGAAATGACGTGACATGGGAGCGTGGTGATGGGTGTACAACCTTGGAGATGCACCCAAGGCCTCTCCATGGGACACTGGCTTAGTCACCGCCCTGGTCTCCGGGACATGACACCCGACTTGGAGGAGGACAGGTCCGCTCTGGCTCGTGCTTTCGGCCCATGCCAGCCGGCTGCAGGGCAGAAGCGGCGGGGCAGAGGGGCGCACAGAGGAGAGCTGCTCATACTACAGCGGCCAGGAAGCAGCAAGAGAAATGGGAAGCAAGAAGGGACACACCCCAGCGACCCACCTTTTCCCACCAGGTCCTATTCCAACAGCAGGCCAGCTGTACGGTCCTCACGATCCAATCCCCTCAACAAACCCCAGTACTGAGCACATGAGGGCTTTGGAGAACATTCCCCTCCTCAACCACAGCAAACACTTTAAGAATACAGAAGTTCCCCCTTCTCTGCAGAGGACACTGTCCAGGGCGCCCAAGGGATGCCTGAACCTGTGGGTAGTCCTGAGCCTCCCAGGTAACTCTTCTCCCTACGCCAACTTCAAGTTTAATTTATAATTTAGGAGCAATAAGAGATTAGCAACAATAACATAATTAAATAGAACAATTATGACAATATGCAGTAATAAAAGTGATACGAGTGTGCTAATGTGCATTCTCTTTCTCTTCCTTTTTTTTTCTTTGTCTTTTTGAGACAGGGTCCCGCTTTGCAATTCAGGCTGGCCTTGAGCCCACTTTGTAGCCCAGGCTGGTCTCAAACTCACAACGATCCTCCTGCCTCAGCCTCCCAAGTGCTGGCATTACAGGTGTGCACAACCACGCCCGGCTCTCTTCCTGTCCTTGAATACAAGCCCTGAGATCCTGCAACAGTGACAACCAAAATGGCTTGGAAGTGACTTCCAGGAAGGAGGCATACATAGAGTGGATTTGTTGCAGGAAGAGGTGATTCGTATCCTGGGTAGGAGAGCACAGGATTTCACACACAAAATTTCAAACTAATGAATTGGTTATTTCTAGAATTTTCCACTTAATGCTTCTGGACTAAGACTGACCACAGGTAACTGAAACCATGGGGAAAGGGAAGCCATGGATAAGGGGGACTGCTATAACCCACCTGGAATTCCTCATGGGGAAAAACACTGCTGCTATGACCCCTTCAATGGCCCTGCTATCCTCAGAGCAGGGTCCAAGCATCCTGACCTGGCCCTGTGCTGTGGGCCTGTACTCATCCCTGACCCAGGGCAGGAAGGCCTCAGGGCCTTTGTACCAGCCATTCTCTCCCCAGGCTCGTCGCTCCATATTCTATGCTTACTGCAAAGGCTGTGCCCCAAAGCCCTCACTAGCCTCGCCCCTCGCTCCCTTCCTTGCTCCCAGAGCTGGCTGGCCTGCCCAGCCTGCTTTCTGGGCCAGCGCTCCCCTCGGGCCACACCAGGGCACTGGGGTCCCCGCCTCAGCTCTGCCCTGGCTCCTGTCCTAGGTAGCCAGAGTTCAACAGGTGTTTGGAGGATACAGTAAGGGTGTGGGCTCGAGACCTGCATCTCCCTTCACAGAAAATGAAGGTTCACACACCTGGAAGAGGTGACCCCAGGATTCAGCCCACAGGGGACATCAGACAACATCCACTCACACTCATGACACCTTCTGGGTACAGCCCAGGGAGGCTGCTAGGCATCTTCCAGGCACAGGTCAGCCCCACCACAGAGATCACCCAGCCTGAAGGGTCCACCCCGGACCTGCCCGCCTCACCACTCAGCTGCGTTGTCCCTCCTGCGGCCGCTTTCTGGGGATAAAGGTCAGAACCTGCCCTGACTCCTGCACCGGTCTGCAGCCCCACTGGGTCACACTCCCAGGATTCCGCCATTGTCCCAGCGCCCTTTCTACCCCAGCCCACCCCACACAGCTGCCCCCAACCCTCCAGGGATTAGAGACCCCACTCCCCAGCCCCACTTCCCTGCATCCGCCTAGCCTCGTCCGTCTGCTAACTGTGGTGGGCAGAACGATGGCCGCAAAGACGCTCACGTCCTAGCCCCTGACTCATGTGGTTACCCTACTTCTGTGGGAAGAGGGACCCTGCGATGTGATTAGCACGTAGCTGTCAGCCTGAACCACTGGTGGCACATGTGTGACTGTGCCACTCGAGGGGACTGTCCCATGCCACCATGCATGCACTGCTCGTAGTTCAAGCTGCCCGGCGGCAAGGCATGAATCACGGCCCTGTTGTGAACGTGTCAAGCTGAGGGCCTTGGCCCGGCAGAACACCCTGCACTATCTAGCCGGGCCTAGGGCACTGATCACAAGGGTCCTTGCAGGAAGGAGGCAGGCGGGGGCTCGGAAGGGGAGAAGCTGAGGAGGCGACACTGTGGGCTTTAGAAACAGAAGCGGCCCCTAGGACGGGGAGGGGCACAGAGGGTCCTCTCTAGAGCCCACAGGAGGAGTGCCCTGTCCACGCCATGTTTTCAGCTCCACAAGGCACGTTTTAGGCTTCTGACTCCCAAAGCTGTAGGATAGTAACTGCAGGGTCTTTGAAGCCATGACGTTTTCAGTAACTTGTCACAGCACCAACGGGAAACCGACAGTCACGCCTGCAGAGGGTCCCTTGGAGGGGCCACAGACCGTCTCTCTCACTGCAGCATCCCTGCGGTGGTGCACAGGAGGCCCCGGATAAACGGCAGTAGACAGGAGGCTAAGAAAAGAATTGGACTTGACAGCTGGCCCAGCCCAGGCAAGGCAAGAACCAGTGCTGCAGATCTTTACATTTTCTTTCCTCTTTCAAACGTGTGGAATAAAATTCAAATGAATCAGCTATTTCAAGGGCAAAGTTTTAATTATATTCCTGCTCCATTCTCTGCTGACAAGAATGTTAATTCTCTGCTAAGTCAGTGCTGATTGCCACGTTCACTCCCTCTCAGCTTGGAGTGGGCCACATCCCCTCTGGCCAGGGGTCCACCACCAACTGCAATCGTCCTCGGCCTCCTGGTCCTTCCCTGGGCATGCAGCCAGATCCCGGACCAAAGCCCCGGGTCCACCTAGAGGTTCCGCACTGCAGCGGAGGGGCTCACTGCTCAGAGCTGATGCTCCTGCTCTGAGAGACGGGGACGGTGAGGGGGACCAGCTTCAGCTGAGCCAAGGGGAAATGGGACACTGTGTACCTTAGCCCGGGGCCCAGGCAAATACAAGATGGGGAAGTCAGTGGAGGGGCAGCAGAGCATGGTGGGGCTGTGGTAAGTGAAGAAGCTGTGTATCTTCTGAGGAGGAGCTGCTTCTGACTGTATCAGCTCTCGCATGCACACTGCAAGGAATCAGCTTGGAGCCTGGAAATGCTCTTTCCCCACTGGGGTGGTGTTGTGGTTTAAATATGAAGCATTCCCCCAAGAGTCATGTGTCTGATAACCCCCAAAGCAGCAGTGTGCACAGGTGAGGTCTAGGGGGTAATCAGGTCATCAATGGCTTAACCCACTGGCAAGTCCATGGCTGAATGCGCAATTACGTGGTGAAATTGGAGAAAGTCAGGGCGCGCCTTTGAAGGGCTGAGCTTGTCCACAAGCCCTTCCTCTCTGGCTCTCTTCCTGCTCTCTGTGAGGAGTTTCCTCCACCACGCCCTTCCTCCCTCTCTCCATGATGTTTCTGCCTCAGAGGCAGCTGGCCACGGACTAACACCTCTAAAACCAGAAGCCGAAATAAAACTCTCCTCCTTCAAGTAGTGTATATTGGGTATTTTGTCCCAGTGACAGAAAGCTAATACATGTCATCTTTACACAGGTGCTCATCTATGTGAAAATTCACTGAACTGTGCACACTTACAACATGTGCACTTGATATATCTATGCTTTTAAAAATGACCAGATTAAAGTCCTTAAAGAAATGTGGGCCCAGGGTTATCGATCTTTCTGAATTCTCAAAAGAAGCTTCAAATGCAGATTTTTAAGATAAAGTAGCTTGATTTTGAAACACTGGAAATAAGTTGTGATTTAAAAAAATACCAGGGAGTGTAGCCCTTTGTTCACCCAGACCCCTTCACGGCGCCCAGTGCCAACACCCAAGGCCACATCAGCACCTCAGAAGAGAGGGCAATGGCCCAACTGAGCTTGCTGTCTCGTGGGGAAACTGTGTTTTCCTGCACGTACCTCAAGCCGGTCCACTCTGGCATAGATGCCTCGCACTTCTGTCACTTTGGCCTTAAGGAGCGGGATGTTCTCCTCCAAGATCCGTGAAGTGTCGCTCCTGATCTGGAAAACAAAGTGCTCGTGAGGCTCTCTGCACTGCACCGTGTCCCCTCACCCGCCTTGGAGGTGGCTGGAGTCTGTGCAGACCCCGCTGATGACAGCATCCTGTCCAAGGTCAGGTCCAGGAACAGCCAGAGCCCCAGGTGAGGACCTACCTCATCACCTCCTGGGACCCAGACCCACCCAATTATTATTTACTGAACGGCAAATTAATCTTTTCCTCCCAAACACCCAGCAACACACAGTCCCAAACTAAGTATCTTCATTTCCTAAACCACTGATCTGGAGCAAATGGAAAGAATCAAAATCTCTTCTCTACACCAAAGTCAGGGTGTAAGTCCAGTTTTCACTGCCCCGGAATTAATACTAGCAAGGGACAATTATCACTGATACTCATGGAAACCACATATGCCAAAGAGCTCCCAACACGCAGGCACCGTGCTAGGCCCTTCCTTGTACCATCTCATTTAATTTGCAATTTCTTCTGCTTGTAAGTACTTGAAAAGTGCTGGTAAGCTTCAAGCCACCACATCTGTCCCTTCATCACTGAAGTCAGACACTGACAAACGTCAGACATTTTCCTTCACATCCTGAGGACCAAGCCTTCTGCATCCTGAGAGGGAGGGAGGAGAGAGGGAGAGATTCCACATCCCTCTCAAGTTCAAGGAGGCATCCAAGTCCCCTAGGGCAACAGTGGCAAACCTACGGCATCCACGCCACAGCAGCTATCTGTATCACTGAAAGTCCTAAAAGGTTCGCCGTCACTGCCCTAGGGGACACCTTTGAAAGGGGCTTCCCGGCCTCTCGGAGCTGGTCTGGTTTATCTGGGATTCTCATTTTCAGCCAAGGCGCCAAGACAACCGTGGAGTGGGCCACGGGTTCCACAGTTAGGAATCACCAGGGGCACACTGGGAGCCGAGCTCTGGACTTGGGCTGAATCTGAATCTAGCTCTGCCCGCTGTGAACTGTGTCAGCAGGTCCCTGCACCACTCCGAGCGCTCTTCCTCATCTGGACAGCGACAGCATCAGGACAGTCCTTCCTTCTTTGGAACGGCGTAAAGATGAGATGCTCAGTGCAGTGCTGAGGTGGGTGTGACTGGGTTGTGTTTCCCGCCCCCAGTGGTGCCCGCCTCCTGGTACCCACGCCTTGTGCAAATCCCTTCCCTAGAGCCCAGCGGGACCTCATGACTTGCTTCTCAGTAAGGGGAGCAGCAAAAGTAACAAATGTCACTTCTGACACCGGGTTACAGAAGACTGTCACCGCCAGCCTGCTGCTGCGTCCTCTCACTGGCTCACGTGTGTGCACACGCGCACGCGCTCTCACCCTGCCCTCTTGGGTGCTCGTGCTCTGACGTTGGAGTGCACACGGCCAGGCACTGCGGGGGCCTCGAGCTGACAGCCTGTAAGGCACTGAGCCCTCAGCCCCCTGCCCGTGAGGAGCTGGGCCTGGTTCACACCCTGATTTGGCCTGGAAATGCATCCTCCCCAGTCCCCATGTGATGACGGAGCCCCTGGCCAAACCACTGGACGAGGTTCCTGGCCCTGAAAACCGCTGTATGAAGCCACTCTCTGGGATAATGTGTTCATGCAGCAACAGGTAACTAACGCGCAGTGATGACTTGGCACAAAATTAAAATTTAAAAAATGTTTTAGAAAACCGTACCTGTTTTTCCTCCTCCTTCTGCCTAAGCACATGAGACCTTGTATGGAAAACTGCTCCTGCCACTGTTCAGAATGGCATCCCCTTTGCCCTTGTCACTGGGTCTCTGGGGATGTCACCCTATTGCCCTGCCTGTCTGTCCCCACATCCCTCCTCCTCTGGTCATGGTGCCACCAGCTCCTTGGGCACCAGGTTCCAAGCCCAGCATCCCCAGAGGCATTCTTTTCTCAGGCCCCAATTTCCACCCCGAGAGGGTGGCATTTGCCACCAGGCTGCCTGGCTTGATCTCCAGCCCGTGCCTTCTTCACCAGGAGCCCAGGCCAGACCTGAGCCTCTCTGTGCCCCCGTCTCCTCGTCGGTAACAAGGGGATGCACCGTAGCACTTCCCCTGGGAGAAGGCTGTGAGGGTGACACAGGGTCATCAGTGCCTGAGTGTGGCCCACGTACGCACCTAACTGGCTCATAAGGGTTCTGGTATTTTAATTTAATTTCCAAGTTTAAAATTCCAGTGGGGCTCCTGGGAGAAATGACTGGGCCTGGGACTGGGCCAGGGGATTAGGAGAGGAGGCCAGAGCACCTCCCAGCACCAGCAAGGAAGGAAGTACTACACAGAAATAAAGGCAGGCCTCATGTCAAAGGGACCCAGGGGCCAACCTGAAAGAGCAAAGTCGCCAGAGCTGGATCAGTCTGAGCAACAACGTCAACGACGAAGGCTGGATTACACCGGAAGTATAAGTGAACACAGTCGGCCCCTCCCCTACAGGTAGCATCTGCAGCCAACCAGCTGTGGGTGCTGCTGGCTCCTGAGTCCTCACAAACATACCCTGGTGGGGAGAGACGGTAACCACAAGGTTATCTGGACACGCTCAGCAATCTCTGCAATTTCTCGGTAAATCTAAAGTACTCCAAAGTAAAACACAGAACTAGGGTTTCTAAAACGTTTGCAGCAATCAAGTCTAGACTGATAGCTTTCCAGCAGTGCTCACAGTGCAGGGCTGAGTTTCCACAGACGCCGCCACGGGGCAGCTCCTCCAGGTGGGCCTGAGCTCAGTTCTCCCAGGTCCCACGCCTCCCCAGCCTCCAGCCTGCCCCGGCTCCCCTCCGTGCTCCCCTCACACGTTACCAGGGACAGGAGAAGCCCTCAGGATCCTCCCTTTCTTCCCCAAGGCCGGCTTTCTAGAGAAGCCAGTCCTCAAGGAGGCTGAACTCTTCAGACAATTGCGAGGTGAGACACAAGAGTGGATAATTAACTCTGAGGCAAGGTCAAACTGCAGCAGAACACTGCAAGTCTTCTCTTTCTGTTCATTCTAAAGAAACAGGTGCGGGGGGAAGGAGAACGGGAGGCGGTGGGCTGAGCAGGGGGAGGTGGCAGGAGCCCTCCCCACTCTCCTCCAAAACCAGAGAAGGCGAGGCAGAGGGGCCCAGGCCTGAGCAGGGAGGCAGCTTCTGGTAGCTTCTGGAAGCACCCTCTCTGGTAGCTGGAGTTGCAGGCAGCTATGGCGTACACCTGCCTGAAGGCTCCTACAGCTTTTTAGTGTAAGGGATGACAATCCTAGAGGACCCCCAAACCTTGTTTAAGGTTCCTCCTGTGGGCCGGGAACAGCGAAGCAACTTCAGGGTCATTTAGCGCCCTGTCAAGAGGGGCAGGAAACCAGCAGACTGCACGCCACAAGAACACGCTGGGCACAGAGCTGGGAAGTCAGAGCTGGCTCATCTCCGAAGGAGCCTCAGAGAAAGAAATAAGCAGGCCCCGGGGCACAGAGCTGGGATGTGAGAGACAGGGGATTTCAGCCCGGGGTGGTCTGAGCACCCCCGCAACACCAGACGTGTTCTCCTGGCCCTCGCTGTCAGCCTGCTCACAGCTAGAACGAAACCAAAAGCACAACGACATGAGATGCCAAGGTCTTGAATGCAAGACATTCCCCTTAAAAGAAAAGATTTGCGGCTTTTTATGAACAGTCCGAGAGCTGGCCACACTGAGCCCATGCTCTGCCCAGCAGCAATCAGCCGCAGCCGGCGACAGTTGCCCCTTTGGTTAACCACAGTTTCCACCCTCCCCAGAACACCCTGTGTGGAGCCTGCAGCCACCAGAGCACTTCTCTTCTTAGAGGTGAATCAGAGGAAAGTGACACATTGCTCACACCCAACCACTTCGCATCGCCATATGACGGGCATCTGAGCGTGCGCTTAGCTGCCCTCCGCGCACAGGGCGTCCGGGGGAATCAGTGCCCCTGGGCCTCTGCCAGGACAAGCCCACCACGCTGTCCAGCCTGGGGCCTGGCAGCCCCTGTCCCAGCCTAACTTCCCACCTCCCGGGAGCCTGGAAGCCTATGGGGGGCGCAGTGCTGGGGCCACGAGGGAGTGAGGACGGCCGTCCTGGGCGATGCGGCCCCAACCCCAGGTAAGACGGCCGAGTGTGCTCCGCCCTGGAGAACGAGCCCATGCCAAATGCAGCTGCTGGGCCCGGGCCAACGGGACACTTCGGCCACTTACGTGAGCAGAGGAAGGGCCTGCTCCACGCCAGGAGGTGGCTAGAGAGACTGGACACACTGCCCGGGCCATTGAGGGCACCGAGCCGCAAGGCCTTACGAACCCAGTTACTGCAGAGAACACTGGTGCCCTGGCCCTCCGGTGCTTCAGTAATGACGACAGTGATATTGTCGGTACCACTCTGAGGTCACCAAACACGCAGCAGGCGCTGTGCTCAGCAAAGGTTTTTAATGGAATACAGTGACATAAAGTGGCCAGGACTTGAGTATGCAGCTTGATGAATGTCTATACATGTCCCCTCTGTGCCACTACAAGCCAGAGGAGACGAGGAACATCCCCTCACCTCGGAGGCCCCGCTCTCCCGCGCCTGAGCCAGGACCTCCCTCCCGAACACAGGCACTACCTGACTTAACCACAGCTGGGCACTGCCTTTCCGGACCTCAGGGTAATGCAGTCACGCAATACATACCCTTTTGGGGGGAAGGGGCTAGTTCTGGGGGTTGAACCCAGAGTCTCTGCACTGAGCTACATCCCAGCACTATTTTTTTTTTTTTTTTTTTGAGACAGGGTCTCATCAAATCACTAAGTCACTCCCTGGACTTGAACTTATGAAGGTCCAGCCTCGGCCTCCCAGGCCTGGTATTTCAGGCATACATGTGCCGCTCTGTCCAGAGAAAGAATAAACTCCTCTGTCTTACTTCTTTTGCTCAGTGTAATGCTTGTGAGAAGTATCCCCGATGCTGCAGACAGTCTTTTTCATGGCTGGGTAGTACTCTAAAATGTGAATAAACAATGTACTGGCCCATTCTACTGCTGATGTGCATGTCAATGGTTCCCGGTTTGGGGTCTTAGGTCCAAGGCTGCCACGAAAGGTTGTGTATGAGTCTCTATGTGTTTCTCGTTTTGTTTTTGTTTTTCTTCCGGTACCAGGAATCGAACTCACAACCTTGCGCTTGCCAGGCAGGAGCTTTGCCGCTGAGCTAAACCCCCAGCCCCATGAGTCTCTATGTGAACTTACCGTCATTTCTCTTTGGTAATGATCTAGGACTAAGACTGCTGGGATTTAGGTTAGCCTGTGTTTAGCTTTTTAGATCCTGCCAAACTTTTCCAAACTGGTCTACCTTTCTGCATTCCACCAGCAAAACGTTGAGTGTTACGGTTGTTCCTTATCCTGCCAAAGCGCGTGGCATCTCGGTGTGGGTGTGAAGCACATGTCCCGCTCCATCACTGCTCACAAGAGCTCTCTGGAGACGGATTCCACAGATTCTTTACATTCCTCCCACGAGAGGTAAGCTCCGCGTCCCCTCCCTCTTGATTCAGGCTGGGTTACGGGGCTGCTTTGGCCAAGAAAAGATGACAGAAGTGACACTGTGTTTCCATTCCCAGGCCTCTAGGGACTTGGAAGCTTCCGCCTGTGGAGGCCACACGGCCGCATGGCCGGGAAGCCAAGCCAGCCGTGCGGAGGCTGTGCAGCGGAGGGTCTCACAGCCAGTCCCCGGCCGCACCAGCCATGCGTCCCAGCCAGGGCCCACAAAGCCAGCAAAGGAGCCGCCCCGTGTACCGCACCCCAGCAAGTGCCACGGGGCTCGGCTGTCCCTCTGTGCCCTGCTGCAGCCCACAGAAGGAACTGGGTGCTGCCGTACAACTAGGTTTAAGGCCATTTATAACAAGCAGAACCGTCATCTCCATGCTGCAGAGGAGAAAACTCCAATTCAGAGAGGGGGTTAGCTGCGCCCAGGGCTCACAGCACGGCCAAAGTGGGTGCCACATGCGAGGCCAAAACACATCCCAGCACAAGGAGTGAATTTCAGTCACAGAGAGGGATTAAGGGCAGGCTGGAAGAATTAATATGTCAGACAGGAAGCTGATCTTGGATTTCTTTTTTCTTTTTTTTTTTTTTGTCTTTTTGAGACAGGGTCTTACTATGCAGTGTAGGCTGGCCTCGAGCTCACTTTATAGCCCAGGCTGGTCTCGAACTTGCAATGATCCTCCCGCCTCAGCTTTCCGAGTGCTGGGATTACAGGCATACGCCACCATACCCAGCTAGGGCTTGGATTTCTAGTAGCCTGATTTCAGCAGAGAGGAAGCAGCTTCCTTCCAACCCATGCAGCAGAGAACTCGGCCTCTCAGACCTACGAAGTGATCTGAGTTTCTGAAGGCAAGACAGAGCTTGGGGACAGGGAGTGGCCCATTGTGTGACATCACCTGCCCCTACAGGGCTCCACTCACCCCTCGCTTGGATTTTATAACAGCTCTAAAGAGAAAATGAGGTCTGAGGCCAGGGCTGATAACCAGACAGCCCCCTTCAGCCAAGAGCCCCTGACACCTAGGCACCAGGTAAGCCCAGCTTTGCTGCCAGCCTGAGGAGGTTCCCATGATGTCCACGGCATCGGCCCAGAACGCCGCATAGAGGCTGTGACTGCAGATGCCCCCGGGGGCCATGGCAACACTGCACATTCACCACCAAGGCTGAGCGCGCTGTCTCAATGCAGACACAGGGAATCCTCTCGCTGTCCCCAGGAGGCCCACATTCTTCTGTTTCTTGAAGCACAGGGTGATCTCCCTGGTCCAGCTTTACCTTCCTGCTTTCCACAGGGCCTAAAGCCCAGAGGAAGATTATAAAACACACGAGCACACGGTGGCCATGGAGTCGGGGAGGCTCCCTGTGGAGCAGCAAGCGTGGGCCAGGCTGGAGATCACACTTGCCATCTGCAGGGGCGGAAGCTGCGAGGTAGGAACAAGCACCCAGGGGGCCAGATCTCCGCTTCTCCATGAGAAGCCAGGAATCCACATTTGGGGAGTGAAATTCTAAAAATATCAACAGTTGGTTTCCACTTTTTCCCGGAAATCTCAACATATCTACAGGTGGTTCTGGGCCAGGGGTCACCTGTGACGTCAGGGCAGAGTCTTGGCTTGGAGTGGAGAGGACCTCTCGGTGCTGCCTGCAACCTCAGGTCTCCTGGCGACTCCCAGAGCTCCCACCACAGGACGCCTTGCTGGTTTTCCGGGACGAGGCACTCCGTGTTGTCTACACCCTGCACACTCGCTCCTCTTCAGCCAGAGGAGGGTCCTCTTCCACAGAAGTCACGGTGGACAGGGCGGGAACATGTGAGGACAAAGATGCCTCTGGTCCTCAGTTCACGCCGTCTTCCAGCCTGGCCTTTCCAGCCTGGTGCTGGCTACACCACGCCCGGATGCCCTCTCTCCCATCCACTGAATTCGCCCGTTCCTCCTTCAAACCCCAAATGCATCACCACCTGCCCTGCAGCCCTTACAAGTGCCCAGGCAGGAAAGAACGCCCCTGCTCTGGAACCCCCTTGCACCCCGAACCCATGTTCACAACGGCACTTTGGCCCTGGAAAAGACACGAGCATCTAACTGGTTTCCCCCAGCCTGACCCAGGGCACAGCTCTGACCCTCTAAACCCTCAAGCTCCTCACAGGGGCAGGTCATGACAAGGGGCCCGGCGTTCGGTGATGAATAAATTTTATCCAGGCTGCCAAAAGCCTGTGTGGTTACCTTGGTCCCACCCATACTGTCACAGAACTAAAAAGTTGGCTCTCTTGCTGGGCATGGCGGTGCACACCTGTAATCCCAGAACTTGGGAGGCTGAGGCAGGAGGATCGTGGCTAGTTCGAGACCAGCCTGGGCTACAAAGTGAGCTCAAGGCCAGCCTGAACTGCATAGTGAGACCCTGTCTCAAAAAGACCAAAAAAAAAAAAGAAAAGTTGGCTCTCAAGAGTTAAAACTATATAGGTCCTCTCAGCAACATTTCTATCTTCTGCACTGTTTTGTCCCCAAAGGCTGGCCCAGGCTGCGCGCTGAATGTTTCGTTGAATACCCAGGGATAGTATGATGCCTGGCGCCTAATAAACATTTGGGCTATTGTTACTATTACTCTTTGAGTATTCACAAATGCCTCTTAGCTCTGCACACTGCATTTCACAGATGCATAAATCTACACCCCTGGGCCCAGTCAGGCGGACATTTTCAGCTCCAGGGACGGGCAGAGCCTTGTCACAACATGGAGTCCACCCTTTGGGCCTCCAGACAGAAGCCTCCAACTTGGGTTGCTTGTGTGCCTTTAAGAAGCTTGGAATGTGGTAGAAAATGCTATCATTTCTTCTAGGGGCTCCACCCCTGGCCAGCAATAATCCTGGCGACCCAAGGATCTAGAGGAGATTTCTACAGAATCTGGACCTTGTCTTCCAGCCTCAAAACACTATCTTCCGTCTTCCTCCCCACCAAGCCTGATGGACTTGATCCAACACCCCAGAGCAGGAGGAGAGACGAGAGGACAAAGGGATTCAGCAAGGGACTCCGACGCCCACCCCGCCACCAGCGAGGGCCTCGGCAAGAGGCTCCTCCCAGGCCCCACAGGCCTGAAGCCATTTTCTGGCCGTCTCCATGTTTGCAGGGCGGACTCGGAAGAGCTGAGGAAAGTTAAATATAGTCCTAGCATCCCCGCTGATCGGCTCCCTGCATCGGTGCCCGAGAGTGCCACCTTGTGGCCCAGTCCCTGCTCCTCTGTGGAAGAGAAACCATCTCCGGGGAAGGAGGAGATCAAGATGGCCGCCTCAGGAAGCACTTGGGGTTGAGGGAGTGTGTGTGAAAGACAGAGAGAGAAAGAGGATGGGAGGGAGGAGAGAGCAGCGAGTGTGTGGTTTCCTCTTACTGCTGGCCACTGCCCCCTTCCTTCTGGTGGCTAAATCACTACCAACATGGCTTCCCCATTAAACTCCAGAAAAGGCCTGCAGCCCGACCGGGGCCTAATCTCAGGCCTCCCAGGCAGACACTCACCATGTCCGTCAGGCTGCAAAACTCTTCCAGCAGGAGGAGCATCCCCTCGATGGCTGCCTCCACCTCCCTTGCCTGCAAAAAGACAACGTCCTGCAGATTAGCAAGTGGTTTCCAGGGAGACAAACACCCTTCTTTTTTTTTTTTAAAGCAAACTAAGTCTTCGGATTTTATGTGCCCAGTTCCTTCTAGGCCCCCTCTCCTTTTCAAAAACCTCTGTGGCCTTGTTTCAAGTAGTGGTAAACTGGCAGCAATCGTGACACCCATACGGGGACTAATTAACACCGCCTTAGCCATCTATTCTACATCCCTTTCAGAAGAGACAAGATAAATACTAGCATGAAATAACAAAGTTACCTGCATCCTTCCCATTGTACAGAGGAGGAAAGTGAGGCTCAGAGAGGTGAGGTAACTTGCCCACGGTCACACAGCTAACAAGAGGCGCGGCCAGGATTTTAGGGTAGGTTAGAGTCCACAGCCCCAAAGCATTGCTTCATGCCCTGAGCAACCACAAGGAGGAACAGCAAGCTGCAGCGGGGGCAGCAAATGAAGCTCTCTTTGTGACCATGCACAGAAGTGAGTACAGTCCAGCAGAGGAGTCCTGGAATGACGGGGCCACGCTGGCTGTCACTAGGGGAGGTATTCACACCGGAAAGGCACTTTGTGGGAAAATTCAAATGTTACCGAGTATCCTGTACTTATGCTCGTTTAGCCCTAAGGGGAGGGATTGGGGAACGGGCCCTGACAAGGAGACCTGAGGGCCACAGGCTATTTGAAGGGTCCAAAACTCTATGCTTATCAGATTCACGCAGCGACACAGATAAAGAATCCACCATGGGGCTGGAGTGTAGCTCAGTGGTAGAGCACAGATTCAGCACGCATAAGGCCCAGGACTCTCGTCAGCACCATCAATAAATTAATAATAATAATGGAATAATAATGGAGCTAAAGATTTCTTAGTGGGCTAGAGATACAGCTGAGAGGTAGAACACACACGCAGGGCTCTGGGTTCCAGTCCCAGTATCGCTACATAAATAAATAAACAAACAAACAAACAAAACAAAAAGGAGGCCACCAGGCCCGCGGTCAGCTGCAAGGTGCTCGCCCAAGTCCTTAGCAGCCGGCCACTGGCAGCAGTCAAGAAACACAGCCCCGAGTGTGGCAGAACTTTCCACTTGTCAGGAGGAGCCAGAAATTCTAATTTTAAGGGAAATGTCTTAAGTTTTAAATGTCAGCACACATTCAAACCCAAATCTTTGATGCTCCCCGGGCCAAACAGCAGTATTAAAGGCCCTGCCGGCTGGAGCCCCCTGTTCCCCGCTTAGGCAGAAGTCGGCCTGGCCTGCTTGCTTCCTGAGCTACACCACCTTCCGGACTTGTCAAACACTGGGTGGGTGCTGTTTAATTACCAGGCCTCTCGAGGCAAGTTCCCCCACCACGAAGCCTGTCTGCGGCTGGCTGCTCTGTCCTGGCTGGAGGCGTGGCCAGAGGCTGCCGAGCAGACCCCGCCCCACACCTGAGGCCCTCCCGGCCACCCACCTGTCCCCACCAGAGGTTTACACAGCGCCAGGGCGGCTGCCTCCAGCGAGAGCTGTCACCGCCGCAACAAAATAAACCGCTGTGCAAAAAAAGCCTCTTTCCGGCTAGCGTATAAATAGTACCAAGTTGCAATTTTAAACTCTGGAACCTGCATCTCACAGCTGGGACTGTTTCTGGGCCTTCACAGGGAGGCCTGACAGGAGAAGAGGCCACAGGGAGGGGCGCTGGGACAGCGGAGGGGGCCCCCAGGCCCAGGAGTAAATCATGGTAGAGCTGTCATCGTCACCACGGCAGCAGGGAGGAGGCAGCCAAGAGGCCACTGTGGCAGGGCACGCCGAGCCCCAAAGGGGGGCAGGAAAGGTGGGCGGCGCAGGGTGGACAGGGGAGAACCCACAGATGCGTAGGAAGCCAGACCCAGGGCCACCAAGGCCTAGCAGAATGTGAACAGCAGGTCTCCTCTCCGAGACACTCAGAGCGCCCTGCCTGCAGGAAATTCATCCCAACCGCACCGGAAGTTCAGAGAGGACACAGCTAGGAGGGGGGCGCGGGCTCAGTGGGTGGGTGGGTGCCAAGCATGCGCAGGGTGAGTGAGGCCTTGAGTTCCACTCCCGGAGCCACGAGAAAAGAAAAAGGAAGGAAGGAAGGAAGGAAGGAAGGAAGGGAGGGAGGAAGAAAGAAAGGAAAAGAACACAGTATGTTCAAGAGCATCCCGGGTTCAAATCCCATCTTCTCTTCTGCCGGCCACAGGTCCTTAACCCGCTGGCCTAACTTCTGCCTTGGCTGGCCCTGCGACAGGAGCCACCCATCTGGCAGGGTTGTCAGGTCAGCCTGGCATAGCAATTGTGGCTACGCCACTGAGCAGAGGGGACACACAAGTCCACAGCAGAGCTGCTTTATATACCACTCCCCCAGGCACTCAAAGCAATGGCTAATCACCTGGCGCTGAGGCTCTCATTTGAGTCTCACAAGAACCCTCTAGGCAGGTGCTACTACTTCTTCCTTTTCATGAATGGAGGATCAGAGAGGTTAAGTCACTTGCTCGAGGTCACATAGCAGATAAATACTCAAGGTGGAATCTGAGCCTGAGTACTCGAAGCCCCAGAGCAGCAATGTGTAGCTACCAAGCAAAGGAAGAACCATGTCCCTGGGTGGTTGCCTGTCAGCTAATAAGTCTCCCCCGCACCTCACCTCTTGGGCGTGCCAAAGCAGAAAGGGGCACAGCACGCATTTGCTGACTGTCTGGTCAACTAAGGGAGGAACACGCCTGAAATATTCCCAACTGGCAGGAAGGACCCAGGATCAGCCTCTCTACTAGGTCCACAAATCATTCAGGGGACGATTTGCTTTCAACATAATCCCGAGTGGCCTCAGAAAAGAGCCCTGCAGGCTGCAGCCCACACGCCTTTCTACCCAGCCCGCGAGCAAAATGCATGCCTTGCTGTTCTCTGCAAGTCCCTGGGCACCGACGGTTCGGCTCCGAGGGGAAGGTGGCAGAGGGCTCGCTTTCACTGGTGCTCGGGACGGTGGCAGAGACCTCGGGCGGGCACCTTTCAGTGCGCGAAACGTGATGTCGGGTCTCCTTCCACAGTGCAGCTCCAGCTTCCCAGCTGTGCGCACCAACCCACGGGAGAGGGCCTCGCTCTGCCCACCGAGCGCCCGGCACAAGGAAACACAAAAAGATCCTCCACCCGTGGTCTTCTGCGAGTCAACAAAGCCGACTCCATGTCCAAATGCTTCCGAGATCCCCCAGTTTCTTTCACTTCTCCTCCACCCAGTCGTCAGCGAACTGTCCCACGTCTACTTTCTTCTCTCCGCTGCCCTCGCCACCACCCCGCCACAGGCCCCCACCATCTCAGGCTGCAGTCACCCGCTCACTGGCTCCCCCGTCCTGTTTTGCCCCCCTTCCACTGCTCTGGGACCCTCTTAAAACCAAACCCTTCCATGCAGTGCCTGCCTGGCAAGCGTGCAGTCCGTGCAGTCCTGAGTTTGATTCCCGGTACCCACCAAAAAATAAAAATAAAAAAATAAAACCAATCCCTCCCCTGCTCAGAATCCTCCACTGGACCTCTCCACAGCCCCTGGGAAGACATCAGTCACAAGAACGGAGAGCAACGTGTTGGTGCAGTTGGGAATGCAAAATGGTGCGGTTGCTTTGCAGTCTGTTGGTTCCTCACACAAGGAATGAGTTCCTCTATGACCTAGCAATATATCCAAAAGAATTGAAAACACATCCTCTTGCAAAAGCCTGTATGCATGCTGGGCGTGGTGTTGCATGCCTGTAATCCCAGCACTCGGGAGGCTGAGGCAGGAGGATCGTTGTGAGTTCGAGACCAGCCTGGGCTACAAAGTGAGCTCAAAGCCAGCCTCAACTGCATAGCGAGACCCTGTCTCAAAAAAAAAAAAGCCTGTACACATGATTTGCACTGATCAAAAAGTGGAAACAACCAATGCCCACGAACTAATGGGCAAAGTATGACACGTGCGTACACTAGAATAACGTTCCATTCAATAAAAGAGAACAGAGCACATGCTCCAACAGGGGGAGCTAGGAAATATGCTAAGTGAAAGAGTGAAAGAAGCCAGACGCAAAAGGCCCCCTGGGACATGACTCCATTTATATGAGACGTCCAGAAGAGCAAGTCCAGAGAGACAGAGGTGATTAGTAGATGTCTCCCTTCATGGAACTGGGGAATAGGGAATCATGGGTAATGGCTACAGAGGGTTGTTTTTTTTTTTTTGTTTTTTTGTTTTTTTAGGTGATGAAAACGTTCTGGAATTCAATCATGGTAATGTTTGTCCAACATAGTGAATATATACAAAAACCCACCAAATTGTATACCTTAAAATGATGGATTTCACAGTAGGAGAGTTACATCTCCATCTTTAAAACATCTGTCGTCTTCCATCTCACTCAGTAAGCAGCTAACAGCAGCTCTCTAGCCTGGGACCACCTGGACCCAGGAGACCTCACTGCCTCTGTTTGGTCTGCACCAACCCACCCCGTGTCCTCACCCCAGGGCCTTAGCACCTGCTGTCCCTTACTGGAAACTTGTCCTCCACTTCCTGCCAGCCTTCGTCCAACTCTTTCTTCTAGGTGAGGCCTCTTCTGACCCTGCCCCACTCCTCCTGCCCTGTCCTGCTTTCTCTTTAGCATTTATTACCATCAAACATACTTCATCCATTTTTCTTATTTCCTGTAATTGTCCCCATCAGAATGAAAGCACTGGTCATCTCAGTTTTAGTAGCTTTTATTCACCGTTCCCTGGACCCTAGAATAATGCCTGGTACACAGTTGTGCCTGTGTTTCCAAAGATGGGTCTCCAACTCTCTCCTAGCCCACATGCCCTTCTGCTCCACGATTCTGCCATTCTGGAGGCCCGGAGGGGTGGGATCCATTCCCTCTGAGCTTGTGTTAAGTGGCTCAGGCTTGGGATAGTTTGTTTCCCTGCAGTCAGTAATCAATACAGTACTCAATGAATATTCATTGCAGGAAAGGAAGGAAGAAAAAAAAAAGGTAAGAAAAACGAGCAGGGCTA